TGATGGTCTCGGTGGAACTGTTAAGAGGCTCGTTTGGTCAGCAGTATTGGCAGGTGATAATTGTAAATCAGCGGAAGATTTTGTTAAGTTAGCGCAACAGAAAACAAAGAAGATAATTATAATTGAAATTGCGAAAAACGATATTGATAATTCAAAAATAAAACTAGAAAATATATTTAAAGTAGCTAAATCTGTACCAGAAACAGTCAAAACACATTCTCTAAAGGTAATTGATAATAAAACTCTTGAATGTAGATATTATTCATTAAGTTCAACAAAGAAAATAATTAAATATGACTAAAGAAATTTTTTTTATTATCAGTATATTTGTTTTCACTGCAGCGGTTGTTTGTAAATACATGTTGTGTGAGTGTGAGTATGTTTTTAATGTTGAAAGCCGGCAAAAAAGAAAATGTTGCCTTGGTCAGGGTTCTTGACGATTAGGCCACAGAAAAGCGAAAAAAAATGTACGAAAAAAACACTTCCCAGTTCCAGGAGGCAGGGTCTTCGTCCCGAGCTGGAGAAACACTAGTATTTGAGATAGCGTGTTCTTAAATACTAGTGGCTAAGCGCCTCCATCGTTGAAGAAAGCTCATGGCTATCATTATTATACTTCAAGTGACTTAGGGGGAAGAAAACGATGGCTCAGCCATTGGTTAGAGGAGTCCTTAGGTTCAGGAACTACTTTCGAGTGCAGAAACAGAGTAATTTGGCTCTTTTAGGGCTAAAGAATGTTTCTTCCAACAATTATATCGTCATTAAAGACCTCAGCCTTGGTGAGAAAAAAAACGAGTGTCACAGCGTCACGTTGATAAATTGGATTTTCTAATCGACGCAAAGGGTTTGAAGCAAAATTTTTTTTAGCAATCGATAGCTGTTTAGTTACTCTACAAACTTCTGTCTAGGAACGTGTCATTTGTTAAACGAACTTCACAGGAAATTGGCATTTAATTAGCAACACTCGGAAAAAAGGGCCTTTTTTGTCACAGCGTCACGACCCAAAAAATGGTTCTGTAGACCAGAGACTTAACCCAAATTTTCTGAGTTCAGTATATCATAAATAGAGCAAGCTAAGCTGCATCGAATGCCGCCAGAACCAACCTTCTAGCTCTTCTACTTTTTGACCTGATTTAAAATTAACGTGTAAAAACTGTCACAGCGTCACGCTTGGACAAGCCGTCTTCACTTCGGTCGTATGGTTCAAAACGGTGATGAATAGGGTGAGTTGTTGGCATTAAATGAATGCACCTACGGCAAACATCGAAATCCGGACACATTTGACAACTGTACGTACGTTTTTTGGTGAAATCCAAAATTGCGAAACCGTAACGTTACGGTTTTCCCTTGAGTCACTAGGAAAAAACCCAAACGTTTTATGAATATTTCCGCCAATATGATGTTATTTTACAGGTAGACATAGGAGAAATTCAACTAAAACACGGCGAAACGTTTGACTTTTCCCTTGTGACTAGAGAGACATAAACTGTTAGTAATGAGTCCTACGTAGACGTGTCACTTTACTTTTATTTATTTGTTACTTTTCCGGAAAAAGTAACAAAAGACGGGGGCGATTATTTGATGGAATCGGCCCCTGCTTGAATTCGACACATACATAGTTAGATGAAGAATGAACAGGAGAACATTTCTAGCCACTCGGGAGACCTTAGAGTTGCTCTCAGAAAATAACCAGATCGAATTAACTGTAACCAAAGTTCTACTCTTCTTTGTTTAACCATGACGATCCTATGGTCCACACTTGCTCACTAGCCGCGATGATACATATACGATTCGATAGAGAATTTCTCCCGTTAAAATTTCATATATACAAAGTGGGGAAGAAAGGGTCCTAAGGCTACCTGAAATTAGAGATAGTGTTATAAGCTGTTTATTCGAAAGAGAAAACATTTGAATGTTTTTCCTGTATCGTCAAATAGAGACATGCCGGATCATTATTGGTGTATAGAGAAAGACGATCGTTATGTTGTGATGGCGAATAAAGAATGTGATGCGAAAAATGAGCCAGGCAATAATATATAAAAGTCCAGGCACGCGCGTAGAAAGAAAAAATTTTGTTTAGGTACAAACAAAACCAAATGACAAGGAGAAAGAGAAACAACAGCGCGTTAGAACAAAAGAACACGTTATTCTTCTTCTATAAATCTTTTTGTTGTAGAAATATAGTTTATGACTGCACGATGTGTTTATGGAAAAGCTTCTTTCGAAAGAGATACGTTTAATGAAGGAAGAAGATCAAGACTGAGGGTAGGAGTGTTTTTTATCCTTAATATTTCTTTTGTGGGAATTGTTCTTTGAGCGTAGTATAACACACACTCCAGCGGATGATAGTGAACTGTTGCTGTCTTTCCACACGTATTAAGGGTCCCCCCCCCTCAGAAACGGTGATTTTCGGTCAAAAAATCGGTTTTGAGATACACACATGGAAAGATAGCCTGAAGTGTCTACTTCCAGAATCTGTATTGCTTTTGGTTACAAAACTGATTTTTCGGGGA